ATATTCGATTTTTTGTTTTTGGTTTGGTTTTAGTTTTTCATTCAACCATAAACAAACCCAAATTTCAAAGTCGTGCAGAGTATTCATGAAATTAAATTAATATCATACATGTAAGATATATAGTTCTTAAAGTTTGTTCATAACAAGCTCCAACTAATAATTGAGTTTCAATTTGTTCATAATTGTATGGTTTTGTCTGTTGAATTAGGATTCGTTCGTGAATCACATCAAAGAGATAGAACATTAGGAATCAGAAGAGAGAAATAGAGAGAAAGAGGGGAGAGAGTGAGAAAAGGGCGCGCAGGAATTTGGTTGGCCCTCGTACGAGGTATTTTCGGGTTCCTTGGCCCCTTTTATTTCTGAGAATGAGAGGGTTACAGAGATAAGGGAAGAGAGTTCTTCATACATGAGAGAGGTCTAATACATGACATGCTATTCTTATTTATAGATGATATGATGACAAAATGTGAAATTACAACGTTAACCCAGCTTAAAGGAAGTATTACAGAACATTTTGGTGTTTTGTTCATTAGAGCCTATTATTCGGTGGAGTTGGCTTCGGTTAGCTGGTCGGCCGGTCGGCTGGTCGTCCACTGGAGGCTGGAGGTCAGTTGGTCTCCACTGAAGAGTGGTAGCTGGCGATCTATCGGTCATCTGTTGGAGAGTGGTGCTCGGTGGGCTTGAAGGTGCTGATATCTTTTGTCATTTAAACTGAATTAAATTTTGACTCGACTGGTTTGATTTTCTTCTATAAAATATTTTTACTCATTGCAAATAATTTTTGTGGGGGCAAAAAATATATTATTGTAGCTCTTGATAGACCGAAATATAATTGGAGAGTAGAATTATACGATTTAAAAAAAATCACTTTATCTAAGAAAATATGATTTTTTTTTTTGTTTTTTTATTCATGAGAATGTTTTCTCTAAATATAACTAATATCTAAGTAGCTGCATCTGATTGGATAAGTGAACATCTTAATCTTCATTTTTGACCATTAGATCTTCTCAAGATCAGTACTCACATTTTTTGATGTACTGCAATTATTATTTTTTAAGAACAAGCAAACTCATTTTAGGTTTTTTTGTTTTTAATATTAAGAAAAATGAGTAGACCTGACTAAATATATATATTTAAAATTATAATTTAATTTTTAATTTTTAACTCAATCAAAATCTGCCTTGCTGGCAGATAAAGTCAAATTTAATTAAACAGTTTTTAAATTCTTTAATTATCTTTCAGAAAATGCAACCCATAAATAACCAAATACTTCATTTCCAACATATTTCTCAATATATAATATATATATATATATGCTATTTTTATTTATAGAGAATTTAATACGATATTAATATTACATTTTTACCGTTATTGGGAGAGGGTATGTACCCTAGTAATTATGATAGTTTACAAGCAATGACTTCTTGCTCAGTCCAGCATCACCGGATAAGCTTTAGTTGACCTGACTTGACAATTATAGCTAGAGTTGTTGAGCTCGGTCAGGAGGGTTCAGTTGGGTAATCCGGTCTGGTTGGCAATCTTCTCTCTGTTTAGGACTCTTTGTATCTCAGTTGGATGGTCGGAGATACTTTATCGAACTGGTTCCTCCATTGTGCGGGCTATATTGCGGGATGGGCTACTGCATCGAGTTGCCTTTCCTACAGTTGACGGCCCGAAATAATCTCTTGTCTCGTTTTAGGTCAAATGATTTGCACCCAGATCATTGAGTTGTTTTCTTGTTTGTTTTTTGGCTCGGTCAGTTTTGGCCGAGTTGAGTTCGCTCATCCAGACTTTGCAGGCGATGTTGTTTTCCTCTCTTCACAACTATTAGATCGCTGTAAGATCAGCATAGACATCGATAACACTATATTTTCTCCATCTGATTATTTGGAAAAAAATAAAAAGTAAGTAAGAAAAGATAAAATGTAAATTTCAAATGTAGTTAAATTTAAATAAATGTCCACTATGCCTTTTATTATATTTGTACATATACTAGTATGTGAAAGTGTCGCCTATCTTATAAATTTTGACCATTACAAATTGGAAAATTTACGTTCTTACCCCTCAATTTATATGTATTTACATTTACTTGTACAATACATAAACTATGATTTTCACGTATAGGTCGCCTTTTTTATATATGGAAAGATGTATTTCGTATATTCTTAAAGTTAAAATAGTGATATTTTTGCTGTAATGTTAAAGATTTGGACGGTAGAAATATAAATATAGATATTAAATATGTAAATGAATAGAAAATGGATGGTAAATATGTAAAAGCCCGAGGAAAAAATTTATTTATGCAAATACCACTCGCTTCAAATTTATTTACATATCCGACACTCAAATTTTAATTTTTACACATTGCACCTTATCATGTATGAAAAACACGTGTATTTCACCTTTTTTGAAATTAAAATAATGATATTATTCATGTGATATGAAGTAATTGGATGGTATAAATGTAAAAAAGTAATGCTTATAGATGTTAGATATATAGATTCATAAGAATGGGGTGGTAAATATGTAAAATGGCACATGGAAAAGGAATCGGTCCACTTTGCTATGTCGATTTGCCGCAAACAGTTCCTAACAAGACAAAAAAGAGGATCAAAGAAATTACAACTGAAAATTAAATATTTTTAAACCTAATACATTTTTATATTATATTTTTTGAGGCTTAATCTTATTTGGTATTTTAATTATTGAAAGATTAACACACACACCCCTCAATTTCCATGTATTTACATATCTATCTAAACTTTAATTGTACATTTATGTCACCTTACATGTGCATAAAAATGTGAATTTTATTGTTTAATAGCTAAAATAATGATGTTTTCGATGTGATGTAAGGTTGGATCCCGGATTGTCTTTTGTGAACACGTCTTGAGAGTTAGAGTCGGGTGAAGAAGAGAATAAAGTGAGTCGAGAGTTAGTCTGGAAAGAACTGGGAGAGAGTTCACTTATTCATATTTTTTTCCATCTTATTTATAGGGGTGTATTTGTACAATTATAGAAAGAATGAAAAAGTGATGGAGACCATATAGAAATGACTGAACAGTTGTGGAAACCGTTCTTAATGTGATTAATGCTCTAATAAATTGTGTTAATTTCATTCCATATTTGTATTACAATTTGAATTTTGATATGACAGTAATTGGTTGATCGATTCGCTAGAATGTGGCCGATTGAGGCGATCGACTGGGTGGCGACATTGTCTTTGTTTGGTCGACCAATGTGCTCGGTAGAATGACGATCTTGTCCGCCGTGGCAAAAAATTGTTCAGTTGTCAAATAGTGATTAGGGTGTTTCTGTCTGAGCTTCAATCAGCCGGTTGGTCGACTGATGAGTCGATTTGTTTTGTCGGGTGAACCATGACTCACTTGTCGCTTTAACTCAACTCTTACATCTCATTTACCTTGTCAATTCGTCGTTTCAGCTAAATACACATATTCACAAGGTCTTAGGCGGATCTTTTCGCTGGCCGTGTGAGGATCCGATGAGATTTGCTGCTATGATGAATTACGCCTCTTGACGGATTTTTTCGCTAACGGGCGAGAGACCATCTCCAGAGCTTTGAGCCCAGCTCGCAAGTCGAGTCGGTGCTGGCTTGAGCCCAGCTCAAGAGCCAGCTTGGCTCACTTACGCCCCTAGTGGGGATTGGCAATGGCGAAAGGTTGCATAATTGAGTGGAAAAGTTCTCAAAGTGCAATTCTGAAATTTACCAAAATAAACTATAGAGCCATATTTCAATTTTACTAAATGTATTTCTTTTTTTTTTGGAAAAAATTAAAAGTGTTGTGCATGTAAATGTGATAGTTATGTATTAGACAAAAAAAGACATTTTGAAGTCAAACAGAGTATTCATGAATTTAAGTTAATATTATACATGTAAGATATGTAATTCGTGAAGTTTGTTCATAACAAGCTCCAACTAATAACTAAATTTAAATTTGTTCACATTGTATGGTTGTACTTGTTGAATTAGGATTTGTTCATGAATCACACCAAAGGGATAGAACGATTGGAATCAGAAGGGAGAAACAAAGAGAGGGAGAGAGAGAGAATGCAAGGAGAGAGTGAGAAAGGGTGCACACGGATTTAGCCTGCATACGAGGTATTCACTTGTTCTTTGGCCCATTTTATTTCTAAGAATGAGAGGGTTTCAGAAAGAATGGGAGAGAGTTCTCTATACACGAGAGAGGCCAAGAGAGAAGGATCTAAAGACCACTAATACATCAAATGATCCTCCTATTTATAGACGATAGAATGCAAAATGTGAAATTACAACGTTAACCCTGATTAAAAGGAGTATTACATAACATTCTTGTCTTTTGTTCGTTGGAGCCTATTATTCTATGGAGTTGGCTTTGGTCAGTTGGTCGGTCGGCTGGTCGTCCACTAGAGGTTGGTGGTCGGCCGATCAGCAGGTCCTCCACTGAAGAGTGTTAGTCTGCGATCAGTCAATTATAACTGAATTAAATTTTGATTAGATTGGTTTGATTTTCTTTTGTAAAATATTTTTACTATTTGCTAATAATTTTTGTGGAGACAAAAAAATATATTATTGTAGTTCTTTATACAATTGCATCTGATTGGATAAGTAGGCATCTGTCTTATTTCTGGACCATTTGATCTCCTCAAAATAAGTACTCACACAATTTTTTATGCACAACGGTAATTATTTTTTAAAAACATGCAAACATATATATTTTTTTAAGATAAATAACTCATTTCTTATATATTTCTCAAAATAGCTTTAAAAAAACCCATTTTTATTGCTTTCATAATATATATTTTAAAGAAATGAGCATCAAATAATTAATTATTCAGAGAACGAATAATTAATTAGTTAAAAAATAAAGTTTAATGATATTTATCAGAAAAAGAATATCAATTATCGTAAATTCGCTCTAAGGTGGGCAAAATGGTAATTTCCGGCCTTTCTATCCGTATAAAATCGGGCAGCGCAGGCACGAACTTCCGATAGGAGCACAATGGCGCTCCGCAGAGCTCGAGCCCTTAACTTCCTCGATTTGGCTAAGCTCTATCCTTCTTCATCCCATCTCCTCCGCTCCGCCGCCTTGCCGGATCAATCCCCCTCCCTCCCCTGCAGGATTCTCCCCCGCCGGCCGATTCTCCGGCACGCA